GAGAGAGAGAGAGAGAGAGAGAGAGAGAGAGAGAGAGAGAGAGAGAGAGAGAGAGAGAGAGCGCGTAGGAGAGAAAGACAACACGAAGTATGTGTTTAAAAAATCGCATACGTACGAGAGAGAAAGACAGAGAGGGACGAACGCGCGCACAAGGGACAGAGACGGGAGGCTAGATTCTCCACCAACCTTCACACTTCCGTCTCTATCTCCGCCATGTCTGCTACAAGGCCTCTATGCCTTATATACAAGAGAGAGGCCTCTATACAAGGCCTCAATGCGCCTCTAGCATGTCTACTACAAGGCACGCATACCGTAGCTCTAGAACAGTTCCACTATAGTATACTACATATATATATACATATACTATAGTATACTATAGTACTACTATAGCCCATCGTTCTGCCACAGGTGCCATTGTTTTGTGGTAGAGCGAAGGGTTATACTTATAGTTCTAGAGCTAGGCATACAGCTGACACACTAACGCTCATGCATACTTCAACAGCGCCGGCCTATACGCGGGCGTTTTTCCGTTTCGTTCATTCACCTTGCGTAACCCTGAAGGCCCCGCAGCTGCTTTCACAGTAAATGCTACAGTAGGGGGTTAGTCCACTGGTAGCACTGCGAGTTCACTTGCCACACTCTGTCTCTATTTGCTGAATGCTAAGCCGCGTGTACCTTTTTTCAAGTCGTTGGTATGACCCGGCCGGGAGTATACTGACATAGGCGCGGGAAGGATTTAACTTTTTTTAAACCATCACCTTCAGCGGTCAATGGCAGACTCGGGTCAGTGCTTCCTTCCCTATTCTCCTATATACGAACAGCTCCTATCACGGGAGATATATCATCCCTGTGGCATCCCACTCACTGCAGCATCTATCTCGCCCCTGACCCACACTCTCACTGCGCTCTCTCTCTCTCTCTCGCTTTTTATCCCTCCCTCCCCCCTTTCTCTCTCTTTCTTGCCCTCTCTTTCCTCCTCTCCTCCTTCCTCCACCTCCTCCTCCGCACTCTCTCTCTCTCTCTCTCTCTCTCTCTC